ATCAAAGATCTTACTATATGAAGCTGAGATCATAATATATCATCAAATTTGTATTCTGCTTTTTTCACTCAGCATCATATCATGAACACATTCCCACACCATTAGATATTTTTTATAAATATCATTTTGATTGATGCCCAACATTAAATCACACGGATGTACCACCGTTAACCTTTCGGTAATGTTGAGACCTTTTGGATAGTTCCAGTCTTTTGTTAGTTTAAGTAATTCCAGGTTGACGATCTGACAGAGCACAAAAATGCTAATGTGCCTTTTAAAAATTATGACTTTAGGATAGAATCCAAGAAGGGAAATTTGTGAGTCTAGGAGCATAGACATTTAAAGGTTCTTTAGATTTGATTAGATTAGACTAGACTAGACAAGACCAGATTAGATTAGACTAGACTAGACAAGACCAGATTAGATTAGACTAGACTAGACAAGACCAGATTAGATTAGATTAGACTGAATTAGATTGCTAGAGAGGTGGTGATGATGGATAGGCCGATGGACAGACAGACAGACAGGTCTCCAAATTGTCTGCCAGAAAGTTTGTTCTGATTTATACTTCCACCAACTTTGTAACCTGTTGCTGGAGTTGATTTCCACTCATAGCGACCCTAGAGGACAGAGCAGAACTGCCCCATAGCGTTTCCCAGGCTGCAATCTTTATGGAAGCAGACTGCCACATCTCTCTCCCACGGACCAGCTGGTGGGGTCAAACCCTCGACGTTTTGGTCAGCAGTGGAGCGCTTAACCACTGTGCCCCCAGGGCTCCTTACCAGCTGTGTAGGAGAGGGCTTATTTTATCACCCCCAGTCCCCACTCCCACTCAGATATTCTTAGTTTTTCTTATTTGCTAATTTTAGAAAACACACAGAGAGAACTTTGTTTTCATTTGGATTTCTTTTAAGGGAGTCCTTTAAACAGTAAAATGAATATCATGTCTTCCAAATATGAGAAGAAAATCTTACTTAGAAAAGTGTAAGAATATGCAAGAGGTGACCCCAGAGTTCCTGTAGCTTGGGACTGCCCGCTCAGGGTTCCATTCCCTTATTGCCCCTGCAGAGCTCCAAGGGGGACGGAAGGCATGCCTGGACCATAAAGCATTTCAAGAAACCTACCTACTGCAACTTCTGCCACATCATGCTGATGGGCGTGCGGAAGCAAGGCCTGTGCTGCATTTGTGAGTAAACTTCCTTCAAACCCCTCTCCCTCCCGGAGCTTTCTTGATCTGCACGTAGTTGAGCCATTTCAGAAAAAAAATTAGCTTGAAGAGCCACCCACATGGTTCCAACAGCAGGGAATAGAGCAAGACATCCATGTCCTGTTTCTGTTCTACTCGAGTCCAATGGACAAGTATTGTCTGATTATTGGAGTTCTATCATGGGACAGCGCCGCCCTAGGGAACAGAAGCTATTGAGGGTGACACATAATTCAAGTACATCTTGCACTAATTTTAGTCGGGTTTGCTAGTGAATGTTTATTTGGGGCATGATCAGAGGATCATCTTTTTTTAAATTAATAAGCAACATAAAGCTATGTTCTGTGAATACAATGAAAATTAAAACGATGCATTTGTTCTCTGTTAAAACCCATGTAGGGAAGTCAGAGGAGAAGGGAGAAGGAACAAAGGGAGAGAGGAATAAAAGAGAAGGGGGGACTGAGGAAGGGGACAGGAGAAAGAGATGGTGGGGAAGGAAGAAAGAAGGGGGATACGGGCAGCAGGAGGGGAGGGAAGGGGGTGCAGTGAGAAGGCTGGGCAGGGGCCAGGCTGTGGGTGACAGAGTCCTAAAAGCCACCTCCCTATACAGACAGCAGACACTCAGCCTGAAGCTGAGACAGGAGAGCAGCTGCTGCAGGAGGCTCTGTGGGTGTGGCCCAGGTCATCCGTCACACACTTGTGAGCTAGGCAGCAAGTGACCTCAGCCACAAAACTCTTCTTAGCAAAGCTGTGCCCAGTGGCCACCAAGAGCAAGCATTAGCAGGCTGAAGAAGGGGTCCCCCAGTCTTGGCTGCATCTATTCAAATCCAGCTCTCACCCAATTCTTTACAGACCCAATCTCATCCCTAGTAGGTTCTAGGCCTGTGGACCTCTGCTGTTTGCACAGTAGTAAGTAAAAAACCCATTAACCACTGAGTGGATTCTGACTCATAGCGACCCTATAGGACAGAGTAGAACAGCCGCATAGGGCTTCCGAGGAGTGGCTGGTGGATTTGAACTGCCAACCTTTTGGTGAGCAGCCGAGTCCTTAACCACTGCACCACCAGGGCCCCAGGAGTACGTAGTAGTAGTGATTATTATTATTGTTGTTGATATTTTGTGGAATAGCTCCTCTGACACAGACACATGGCGCTTTGCACAAATTACTTCATTAAATCCTGCAAATTCCCTGCAAGAGGGACACTTTTATTCCCACTGTACAGATGGAAGCCCTGATGCTGTGAGAGGTGAAGCCATTTACCCAACATCATACGATTAGCCACAAATGGCAGAGCCAGAATTCAGGCCCAGGCCTAATCCCCAAATCCCTGCCCTGTCCGTCTGCTCACCAACATCCCTGACATGGGACACTGTGCCGTTGGCGTGACAGGGACCATGACCCTCACACTCCCCTTACGTGACAAGCGCCTTTCTGGGGCTGCTTTTCCTGCTGCATTCACTGCCCACAGCGGAAGGCCATGTGGTGGGGGCAGAGGGCGGTACGAGGATGTCTGGGAGATACCCCTGCACCTGTCTGACCGGCAGAGGAAGGCACGGGCCCTGGCTGGGCTGGGGGTGGCTGAACCTTCCCTAGTCGCTCACAAGCACTCTCCTTATTTTATTTTATTTTTTCCTTTGCAGACTGTAAATACACTGTCCACGAACGCTGTGTATCCAAAAACATTCCTGGGTGTGTCAAAACGTACTCAAAAACGAAAAGGGTCGGTGAGGTGAGTGACACCCATTGCCTTGTCCTGCTGCATGTTAAGTCCCGGCCACCCATCCATCACCACAGACTCCTGGGCAGAAAGGGGCTGTGAGAGCTTATCCGGTCCCTTCTCTGCCTCGAGGACCACCCAGAAACCATCCCATGCATCCATCAATCCATTCAGCATCTCGCTGGTGCCAGGCTCTGTGCTACAGCACACAGGTTATGAGAGATGGTCCCTAGCCCGCTCAAGAACTGTGTAGTCTCATGGGAGAAACAGAGAGGTCGGTCGGGCTTTGTGGAATGTACAGGTGAGCACAGAGGAGGAAGTCAGGGAAGGTTTCACAAAGTAAGTAGCATTTGAGCTGTGTTTGAACCAGAGTCAGGAGGACTTGACTGGGTGCCACAGAGACAAGGTGCTCGTGGCAGAAGAAACCAGGGAGACGTGGCTTATTCTGGGATCCACACTTAGTTTGGTGGGGCTGGAACAGAGGATGCTGAAAGGGAAGTGGCCGGAGCCATGCTCGGAGTGATGAAAGCCAGTGTGGGGAGGATCTTGTAAAGCCAGCTGAGGCGTTTGCCCTGCAGCTGAGGGCGCCACTGAAGAGCTTCAAGCACATGAATAGTATGATTGGATTTGCGAATTAGGTTAATCACTCTGACCCTGGGGCAGAAGGGAGAGTAGAGGGAAAACCTGTTCCAACAGTTCAGGCAAAAGACAGGGCAGCTCTGAGGCTCTGTTCGACTAGGGCGGGCCTCCATTCACCCGCTGTGCTCAGATCCGTAGCAAGGTCATGGGCGTCTGTGCCATTGCGGTTGCCATTGAATATGTTAGCTATCACACGGGCTAAGGTGGAGGAGATGAAGGGAGAGTTTGAGCGACCATTCGGAGGTGCCACCACCGGGACTCAGGGACCGGGATGTAGGAGATGAGAGAGGTCAGGTTGGGATGGCACCTCGGTTTCTAGCTTAGCCAATACCTACAAAAATAAAGAACAGTTGCTGTTGAGTCAACTCCGACTCCTGGTGACCCCATGTGTGTCACAATAGAACTGTGCCCCGTAGGTTTCCAATGGCTGATCTTTCGGAAGTGTATCACCAGGCCTTTCTTCTGAGGGCCTCTGGATGGATTCGAACCGCCAACCTATTGTTTAGCAACCAAGCGCTCAACCATTTGCACCACCCCAGGTTCTTAACTTGGCCATCAGGCGGTGCCATTCACCGGTTCTGGAAATAGACTCTCCGTAAAATCAGCAGGGAAGGGCACTCAGCTCCTGCAGAGGGAAGATTCCATTGAGGAATCTTAGTTAGGAGGTGGGTTAGTGAATGGGAGTGGTCCCCAGTCCTCCCAAAAAGGACTTCCAAGAGAGAAGGGCGCCTCCAAAGACCCACATGCATGCCCCATCGAGACTCTGCATGACCTCTTGTCGACTCGTTTCGCACCATGCCCATACACATCCCTCCATGTTCATGCGTCTCACCAGGACACAGACACACAGCCTGCACTCCAGCCACCTGCCCCCCACAGAATGGAGGGAGGGCACACTCACAACCTTCTACGCCTGCCGGCCAACGCAGGTCCTTCACCATCCGTCCAACCCCAGAAGAGGACAGAGAAGGCGACGTGGTGTCAGGAAATAACCCCAGACCTGGAATCAGAAGGCCTGGCTGTGGGTCCTTGCTTGGCCACTTAACAGCCATGGAACCTTGGGCCAGCCATCTGACCTCTCTGAAGTCTCTTCTCTCGCTCTGCATAATAATCGCGGAGCACATTCAATGCCACCACGTAGATAACAAGTTGACTGGGGGCTTGCGCGCTCAGGGGTGTGTGGTAGAAAGTTAGAAGCTACAAACGAAACATGACACATCTTCCAGAGCAACAATTTTACCGAAAACGTTTGCAGGGGGAGGGGAGGACATTAAGGAACTCAATTGCTAAGTAACGTAAAACATTTCTATTTAATGCGAGCATGGATATTATCATGCAAATATTTCCTGTGATTTTAATATTGTGCTTGTAATTGGGCACTTCAGGCTTTGCTCCTAGACTCTCCCAGAGTCCCTATCTATATTCGTCCTCTGGCAGGAGATCCTTGGTAGAAATTTTGAGAAGTGCTGTAGAATTCCTGGCGGAGAGAGCTAAGCTGAGAGCTTGTACCCCCAGATGGTAGTCTCATGGATCTGCTGCTGTCATTTCAGTCACATCTCGCACACACACACCTTCCCACGTGCTTCCCAGGTCCCTGGGCTTCCCTGGCTATGGAACAGCCGGGAAAGCCACTGCCGGCCCTCGCTAATATCTTTTAGACTTTGCTTCTCAACCTTGGCTGCACATTATAGTCACTCAGAGCACTTTAAAACATACCAATGACGGGTCCTACCTCCAGTGACTCTAATTCATTGGCCTGGAGTGTGAGCTGAGCTTTAGGACTTCTATACGCTCCCCAGGTGGTTCTATTGCTGAGAGCCCTTGGCACCTAGAAGATGGGAGGGGAAGGGAGTTAACCGTCCGTGGGCACCTCCAAAGGGCCGGACTGTTGCAGGGAGGTTCTCCCAGAGATGGGGCCTATTATGCCCATTTTTGCAGAGGAGGAGCCTGAGGTTCAGAGAGGTTCAGGGACTGGTGAAAGGTCCTCCACTGCCAAGTGGAAGAGCAGTGACTCAACCAGTTTTGTCTCCAGCCCAAGCCCTCCCGTGTTTCCCTGCACCGCGCTCCCTTCCAGAAGAGGGCGCACACGAACACATCACTCTCCAGGGGGTTCTGCAAGACAGACAGCTGGGCTGCGAGATAAGACGCTGCTCAGAGGCTTGCCTGCCCGGGTGAACGAGCTACTCTAAGACGTGCAAGGTGTTTTCTCATCTACCTTGATTAGCATTGTGGCAGTTAGGCAGGGAGGGACCATGTCAGTGCATTTCGGCAAAGGGACCCAGCGTCCAATAAACGTACCCACTAAACCGGAAACAGCCCCCCCTGACCTGCCCCCTCCCTGTCCTCCTCCCAGACCTTCCTCAGCCCAGGGCCCCGGGGCGCGGCCCGCGGACTTCCCTGGTATCCTTCCCTTCCTCCCGCAGGTGATGCAGCACGCGTGGGTGGAAGGGAACTCCTCCGTCAAGTGTGACCGGTGCCACAAAAGTATCAAGTGCTACCAGAGTGTCACCGCGCGACACTGCGTGTGGTGCCGGATGACGGTGGGTTGGCGCCCAGGGCGGCCCTGGTTCTTTTCAGCGTGGTCTTTGCTCAAGCCGCATCAAGGGAGCAGCGAGCATTCCGCCGGAGGGCGTTAGCAGAGCCAGGGGAGCAGCCCTGGGGAGCCCCCATTCAGTGCTCTGAGTGTAACAGTGCCTCCAGCAAAGCGCCAGGCTGCCCAGAGAGAGGGCACCCCGGAACCAGGGCAGCAAGGGCTGCTTAAGAAATGGCCAGTCCACTGTCTGTGGCCGGGCAGCCGGAAACTGTGGGCTGCACCCTGAGCTTCCTTGGCCTGGGTATCCTCTGGGGCCGGGGCCACTGACAGAGGGAGAAGAACCACACACCAGAACCCCTGCTCTAGTGGAAGGGCACCTGCCCCAAAGACACATTCTTTAGAGCAGCCCCACTGCCTTGGCCAGAGGCTCATACCTGCTGCCACCAGGCACAGCCAATGCTCGAGTCGGTGTCCCCTCTGGAAAGCTGGAGTGCCACTAACAGCACCGAGCCACCTGACCTGCCTGCCACAGCAGACTCAGTGCTGTGGCCTGTTCTTTGAGAAGCTGTCAGCCACAAAGGAGGTTTCTCCAGACCAGACTGCAGAACTCTCAAAACGCAGAGGCCGAGTCATGGGGTTTACTTCCAGCTCCCCATGAGTCTGTTCAGCGATCCCTCCTTCCTCCCAGGGTCTCAGAGACTGAGGAGAGCGGTCTCCCAAGGGGTCTCTGAAGTCCACGTGGGGGTGCCAAGCTGAAGGGCCTGCTCGTGGCTGTTTCCCTCCAGCAGCTGTGCACAGCACTGTGGTCTCCTTTCTCTGCCCACGGCCCACTCGGCACCCCTAACACACAGACACACACACACAAACACACACACACATGCACGCACGCACGCACGCACTCAGCCATTCTAACAGAGCCACCCGTGCATCAGGATTTGGGGGAGCACTAGCCAGCTTGCCTCCACCTCACACCTCTCAACCCTCGTGCTTGACACACATCCTCGGTCACTCGCGCTCACTCTCGTCTTCACTTTTTCCTCCAGTTTCACCGCAAGTGTGAATTGTCCGCGTTGTGTGACGGTGGGGAACTCAGAGACCATATTTTGCTGCCCACCTCGATATGCCCTGTCACCCGGGTAAGTGCCCCTGCCTCCACCAGGCTCCTGGCTTCTCCCAGTTCACATTTCAGGGGTAGACGGTGTTCAGACATCCACCTCCCTCGGAGGGCTTCGCCAGACAACTCTTAGGGCTTGTGTTGCGGGTACAAATTCAAGAGGTCAGTGCCGTATCAGCTGGCTTGCCAAAGAAAAGGCCTCTGACTGAACTGGTTCTGGAGCCCCAGTGGTGCAGTGGTTAAGAGCTTGTCTGCTAACCAAAAGGTCAGCAGTTCAGATCTACCAGCCGCTCCTTGGAAACCCTATGGGGCAGTTCTACTCTGTCCTGTAGGGTTCCTTTGAGTCAGAATTGACTCCACGGCAACGGGTTTGGTTCAGGTTGGAACTGGTTCCAAGTGTCAGCCACCCAGAAGGCTCTGGAATGGCCCGACCAGGAAAGCGCATCCATTCTAGCACCTTGCAGGCAGCGCACAGGCCAAGGAACCCTTGTCAGCCCTGTGTATGGCCTCCTAACCCTTGGTGGGCTCCCCGCTGTTTCCAGTCATGGAGCTCCCTCTGCTTTGAGGATTTCCATTTGGGCACCTCAGCCCCATTTGGAAATGAAAACCTAATGAAATTAAACTTTTTTTTTTTTACTCCCACCTAAAACTTTCACCAGCTCCTGTGTAGAAGACTCCTTTTTCAAACCAAGCACCAAACACTTTAATTGTTCTCCGCCCCACTGATGGCTCATGTCTTACTATTAACTTGACCAGCTGCTCCTTTCTCATGAAAAACCTCAGGAAAACTACCACATCAGAAAACTAGTCAGCAGTATTTACCAAACTGAAAGTACACAAACTCAACTGATGGATCATAAGTACTGCAGCCTCCACCAGACTGAGTCCAACACAACTAGATGGTGCCCAGCTACCACCACCGACTGCTCTGACGGGATCACAATGCAGGGTCCCAGACAGAGCTGGAGAAAAACGTAGAACAAAATTCTAACCCACAAAAAACAAAGACCAGAGTTACTGGTCTGACAGAGACTGGAGAAACCCTGAGACTATGGCCCCTGGACACCCTTTTAGCTCAGTAATGAAGTCACTCTTGAGATTCATCCTCCGGCCGAGGACTGGACAGGCCCATAAAACAAAACAAGACTAAAGGGGCACAGCAGCCCAGGGGCGAGGACGAGAAGGTAGGATGGGACAGAAAAACTGGTGATAGGGAACTCAAGGTTGAGAAGGCGAGAGTGTTGACATGTCGTGGTGTTGGCAATCAATGTCACAAAACAATATGTGTACTAATTGTTTAATGAGAAGCTAGTTTGTTCTGTAAACCTTCATCTAAAGTAAATAATTTAAAAAAACTTTAAAAATGTTATTTCAGTTATTCTAAAAAAATTAAAAGCATATATTTAGAGTAAAAAAGAGAAAATACACAAACTCCATGACCCAGCAATTCCTCTCCTGTGTACTTACCTGAAAGACATGAGTATTTATTCCACCAAAACACGTACAAAAATTTTCATAGCAGCCTTATTCATAATAATCAAACACTGGAGGGTCGGGGGAGGGAATTGTCCATTAACAGGAAATGGATGCATCAATTGAGGGGTAATGGGACACTGTGATACAAAGGAAAAGAACAAAGTATGCTAGATGCAAAAATATGGAGAATCCCACAGACATAACCTTGAGCGAATGAAGCTAGACTCAAGAGAAGTCACGGTCTACGATTCCGTTTATGTGAAATTCAAAGAGCCGGTAATCGCAATATGGTGTCAAGAGTCAGAATGGGTTACACTTGAAAGGGTAGTAGTTACAAGGCCATATGCATGTGCCAAAACTCATCTAGCTGTACATGTAAGATCTCAGCATTTTCCTGTACGTGAGATAAACCCCAATAAAAGAAATAACCAACACTGGGAAAAAAAGCAAACAAAACAAAAAATTACGTGCCCAGTATCACATTTTAAAACCCGTTGGCGTCGAGTCAATTCCGACTCCTAGCAAACCCATAAGACAGAGTAGAACTGCCCCATAGAGTTTCCAAGGAGCAGCTGGTGGATTTGAACTGCCAACCTTTTGGTTAGCAACCAGGCTCTTAACCACTGCACCACCAGGGTTCCTATCACATTTTAGTGCTGAGCAAAGAAGCCAGGTGTAAGATCTTTCTTCTTGGAACTCAACTTCTAAGTCAACAACATAGGTTTCTGCTGATTTCAGTGTTTCTGCACCCCTACCCCCATGGCCCTTGCCAGTGTCCCAAAGTCAAAGTGAGAGCAAGCAGTGACAGAGATCTGGGGAGCCCTGGAGAACCCACAGGGGAACATTCTTTTTTTAGTTCCAAAGCCCCACTGTGAAAAGCTCCTGCCCACACTATACTGGCATTCTTTTCTTGTTTCTGATCTCTTGCTCTAATACCAGCCATTCGATTTTTGAAAGATGCTTCTCTCTCCTCTCTTCTCACAGGACAGGCAAGGCGGAAAGTCTGATGGCAACGCATCGGCCCAAGGCGAGATCGTAATGCAGGTACCTCCACGAGCTTTGAGTCGGAATTGCTCATTATAAGCTGGTCCAAGCTGTGCCAGGAAGGACAGGGTTTGGAGTCTAGAACATTTGCTTTCTCATCTGATCAGTTATCCCACACAGGACAGCACTTTATTTCCAGCCTCTGGAATTACCTTTGACCCCATGCTGGAGGCAAGTGATGAGAAGGGAGGTTGGTTGATCCCATTGCTGCCTCACTGGCTGTTTCACCTTCTTTAGGAACGAGTTACATAAAACGTCAATTTGTACACTTCTTAAATAATAGCAAATGTGTGGCCTAAAAATAGATAATGGTTTTCCAAGACTGCCAAGCTGTCTCCCGAATGTGATCTACCAAAATGAAGCTAACCAGATCTGAAGTCCTTCTTAATCCTTAAATGTATATTTTAAAAACCATCAACTCGTTGTCTTTTTTCTTTTTTTTTTTTAACTTGAGTTCACCAATGGACATCTTTTCTTTGTGCCGTCTACGAAGTTCCAAGGACTGCAAAAAAAGGCAGCCTGGTGAAGTACAAAGAGTTCTAGAAAAGGAAATAAAAAAATCTAGGATGTCCTCCCCCTCTGCCTCTGAGCGTCTATTTCCTTGTTTGGAAAGGGACGTAACAATCCCTGTGTTGCCCATCTCACAGAGGTGCTGGCAGATTAAATGAGAACATGCAGATTAATATGCTTTGAACTTTAAAACATAAGCGATACTGACAGGGAAAACCTTAATATGCAGAAAGGCTCCGGACACACATGACGGAAAGTCAGGTGACTCCCGCCAGTGCAGGTATACCAGTTATATACAGTTAGATACCGCTGGCCATCTACCTGGGGTCCTGGCATCTGCTTTCACTGGGCAGTGCCCATGCTGTAAAGGTTGTTAAATATTTTGAATGCTTAACAACCCCAGAGGTAAGGAATTACTCCTCAGGCTCCAAGATGCTTCTGGGGGCACCCTGGGCAAATAAAAGAGAATTCTTAGAAAATCGTAAAGAATGCTCCTGTCCTTTTCCAACAAGACAGCACTGTGTTTGTCGC